TTATATATATTATATATATATATATATATATATATATATATATTATAATACAGGGTTCAATCCCTGTAGTGTACACTGAACAAATAGGCTATCATAATGAATAAAAGCTTATCGCCCAGTCTTGTTAATCAAAGATAATCTACTGGAAGGCTGATACATTCTAGTTACCAAAATCAGTCGTAAAATTTAGTAGAATATATCTATATATCATCAGATTGTGGAGCATATTTTTCTAGAATATTTATACATCAGTGATATTTCGAAACAATCAAAAATAAAGCAAAAACAACACAAACTAACTTCGTTTACACCTTTTTTTTTTATTACATTTTATCTTTAGAAGATGTGGTTAATATTTTTAGAATACAACACAATACAATACTGAAACATCGCTGTACTGGCAAATTTACGAAAATTTAAAAATATTATTAGCTACACACTTAAAGTTTTTTGAAAGAAACAATTTCAGGTGCAAATAAGAAGTCTAAAAATTAAATAAAGATCACAGGTAAGCATCATTTAGGAACCAACGTACACAATCACCGAAAGTGTCATTCATTTAGCCATACCTTTCCAAAGTTACTGTCAGAATGAAAACGTTTAGGCAGTATGGAAACAACAAAAAGTTTGTCTATTTTTATTGTGCTATATTGTAACAACAGTACACATGTAAGTTATAATAAAAACGAATAATAATTTGAAGAAACAACTTGGAAAGGAATGCATTTAGAATTACAAAAGCTGTCGGGAGTACTCAACAAATTTTATGTAAATTTCGCAAACCTAATGGAAGAGAAAGAGTTATATTAGGGTTAATATAATAAATTTGCCACACTCCCTACAATATATAATAGTCCATCTTCAGGAACAATATATTGTACTATTTAACATTAAATCACACAGGAAATACTTCCCCAAATAAAGTACAATATACAGGTATCTCATCACATAAGCAGCAATTTAACAAAGTCAAATGCTTTAACTAATTTACGAAGAAATGCTTCTAGTAAAGCCCCTTATTTTGATAACAATGTTCAGGGTTACAATAATTGTTTGGGAAGGATGTTCTGATACCATGCACTTGAAACTATACCCTTCTTTAACGTATATTCTTTGTCATATTAGATTTTTTTTAATATGTCTCCTGAAGTAAAGGGATTACAGAAAATCTGTGTGTGTGTGTGTGTGTGTGTGTGTGTCTATTACATATTTTCAGTATGGTATTGAAGACTTAAAAAAAAGTTTTGATAAATATTTGGGTTAAACAACAATATAGTAGTCAGAGTATAAAACAAAAATTAAATTTTGATTTTAACAAATACGTGACAAAATAATTCGGGGATATGTAAAAGTACAAAAGAATTTAATTTTAGAAACAAATTCTATCTAAATATTTCTGGTAATTTTTTTCTTGGAGGGGGGTATTAATAACTGATCACAACAGAAGAGGAAAATACATTGATTAACCACATGTAGAATAGAAACCTGTGTAAGAAATTATTTTAACATGTATATATATATATATATATATATATATATATATATA